AAACCGTTAGTAAACTCTCGACACTTACTGGAAAATGTACTTGAGAGAAGGGTCTTCACGATTACTGATGTGAAAACTTTGCCCTGGAAAGAAAAGATCACCATCAATCATTCAGTGGAAACTATGCAAGCTCTTGTAGATACATATTTACATAAAAACAGTATGCACAAGTCAAGTTGGACGCTGGGAACTTAGCATTAGTCTTCACTCGTCCACAACACTGGTCTCCAGGCTACCAAGAAGATTTGACTGCGACGATTACAGACTTGGGACAAATAACACGTGGGTTTTTAAAATTAAGAACTTCCTGAGTGGTGTTACTTACGAGAGCGCTTGGTTTGTCTTCGTTTGAGACAAACAAAAGCGATGATGATGAGCAAAAGGAGAACACCGAGCACGAGACAGACGACTGCGACTTTTAATCCAGAGGACTGGGTCCCATCACTTTGCCCTGACGTCACAGCAAACTTATCTGAATAAAAATAACATAAATAATAGCAGTAATGATAGTGATAACAACAGTGATAATGCTAATAACAATGACGAAATCTGAAAAAAAAATCGTCACCTAAACTATCGCACGATGAAAGGTGTCTTTAACTCACCAGTATCAGTCTTGACGACGAATAGTTCCGAGAAAGGACCATTCCCTGCGTTACTGTACATCCGGGCCTTCACTTCATATTTGGTGTCTGGTACCAGACCTGTTATAAGGTAAACAGTGTCCGACATCCGAGGAATAACTACTTTCCCATCAAACACCGCACCCTCTAACTCTTTATACCATATACGGTAACCAGATATTGAATATGAAGGAAGCTGGAAATAAACAAAAAAACATGTGAGAAAAAGGTATAGGTTTACTTAGTAGACAATTGCAAAATAATGTACAATTTCTGACTCTACGTTTCTTTAATTCTATCAAGGATACTGCATTCATGCTTAACAAAAAGTTACTCACTCGTTCATAGTAAATTCTAAGTTTAAAAGTGTGAAAAAGCACGATAACTAAGGTCAAAGCCGATCAATTGATCAGCAGCCAGGAGCAATATGACTAACATTGCAAGTGATGGCACGAGATAGTGTTGCAAGCTACAAAACACTGTGTAACCAGAAGCTAAAATAATTCTCTCTTGTACCTTCCATTTAACCATAAGCTGATAAGCTCCATTTGACTGTACAATTAAATCCACAGGGGGTGTAAGGGGAACTGAAAACGGAACAGAAAACATCTTGTTATCAAAAGAGTCTCTTGTTATTAAGGAGACCCAGAATTCAAATATAAGAAATGCTCCTAAGAGTTAGCACTTCTCGTAATTCGGAAAATTATATGTATTAGATATAAAAATATCTATTGGGAATTCTTTCTTTATAATTGTAACCATTTACTGTAAAACTAAAGTTCTTACCTAGCTGCATGGTTGTTATTTGTTTTGATACAGCTCTACTCCACCTTTCAATTCCATCTTTCCTTCTTCTTCCAGCGTATACCCTGACCATGTAAACGGTATCGGCAGCCAGCTCTCGCAACGTGAAATTTTGTGGGCTCCTTACAATATTGTGTTGGACGAAAACATCCTGAGAACTGTTCCCATTCTGAGGTCCGTAGTTGATTCTGTACAAAATGGTGCTAAGATATCCATTTAAATTTTCAGGTTTTACCCACGAAACATAAACAACAGTCGCGTTTTCGACAGACATTTTCAAATCCTTCGGGGTTGATGGAGCTGAAAGCAAAACGAAAGTAATTTTTTTCAAGTCAGAATGACCATTTTCCGCACAAGTCTCTGTGCATTGACCTTTTATAACTGCACATGGAGATTTTGGCTTTGTAAAAATCCTTCAGCTATTTCTCCGTTTCGTATTTTGCGGCAAAAAAGTTTGTATTATCACTAATTTATCCCAGTCAAGGGTGATTTAAATTGGTAAAGTTGTTTGAAGAGAAAGAGAAGGTCCTGAAGTTGCCAAGAAAGGAAACCGAAGGGACTGGGAAAGACTTCAATCCAACGGTGCTATATCAAAACAGCCCTCTTCTCCCCCAAATCAAGAGCATACATATAACAACGGTTATAAACAACGAAAGTTCAAACGCTTGGTCCCTGAAGTGGAAATCAATGCAAATTATATCTAGTGTTACCCTTAAGAAGGTTTTTTAGAGAGATTTCTTGGTGTCGAATTCTCGCGTTTTCGACCCCTTTTTTCTCAGTGTTTAATGAGGGACAAATTATGTCAGGTAAACTCCTCCTCATACCTCCCTCCAGAGTTGTCACATTTTGCGATGACTGGCTGTATTGACTACTGCCCAGTCCATTCTTTGCCTTCACTCTAAAACTGTAAACTGTAAACGCTTGTAAGTTGTTCACACGAACCGAACTTCCTTTTATTGTGTCGTTTACTTGTTCCCAGTCTCCTACTACAGTCTTCATCTGCACCATATACTGAAGAACGAGATCCAAAGGGTCAGACTGGGTCCAAGTCATTTCTAAGGATGTCTCCATGATACTTGTGACTGAAGGTTGAAAAGCAGGTCTGGGGACTGAAACGAAAAGCACATGCAAATAAGGGCTCCGTCTAAATCATCGTATTCCCGTCGTTTCAGGAACTTCCGGTCTGCACCAAGCTCGAACAGCCGCTGTTCGGAGCACGAGCCTGCGCTCACTCCATGAAGTTCATTCTTGGGAGGATCAGAGACTGGACTCGAGAAAATGGTGGAAATCGCGCCTAGATCTGCACTGATCCACATAAATTCTAAAATGAAACTTTCTCGAGAGAGTGCTATTCATTAATTCTAAATATGATGAAAAGTTCGTGAAAGCTTACCTCTTGCAAACCTCGCCACTGTATCCAGAGGATTAGTGCAGTTACACAAAAAGGAGTTATTGACAAGAGATACACCAGGAGTGATCAACTCTTCATTAGCATTGACGGTGTAATCCGGGAACTTTTGCAAATCTGGTAACTTAGAACCCTGTAGGTACCAGGTCACCTGAGGACGAGGGCTTCCTTCCACTTCACACTTCATGATCGTTTTGCTGTTCTGTGATGGAGTCTTTTGGAAGTCTATAATCTCGGCTTTGGCTGTGAATTTTAAGGCAATTTCAATGAGCATCGAAAGTAATCTCTTTGGACACCATTGAATTTATTTCACGTTCTGTGGTTGGTCAAGAAAACTCGCGCCAGCCCTTTTTTAACCAATCAGGAGCAAAACTAGAATCAACCACGACATGGTCATAAGTGCATGCTCTTCTCGAGCAGAAGTCTGCTTTGTTACATTCACATCGATTTCTCATCGGCTTTAAGAGACTTTTTTCCTTGGTATGATTGGCCAAAGTCATTTTTCCCGGTTTAGTTTTACGAACCTCGATCTGCTTAAGCAATTTTCAAAGGAAACTCAACAGCAATCCGCGGCAGAATTGCTCATGTGATTGGATTGGTGTAAAGAAACCATCACGCCACTCTCTCGACCAATCAGATGCGAAACTTTGCTGCGTTTCCCAACATTGCTTGCTGGTTCCATTTTGAACCGCTGTTGGCTCCTTGTCACACGTCTGATTTCCTTTATTCTCACGGCCGTTGTAATCACTGAGATCTACATATAAGTTTTACGGCAGTCACAGATTACGTGCATGTTATCACTATTCATTGGATAAATCTCTATCCGGGATAGCGCAGTACTTTTGATTACCACTTGTCCGCTAGATAGCAATTTATCCGTTGTATAGCGCTATCTGCTCTTAGAACCACTAGGGCCTGATGAGTATATTTCAGTGATGAGTACTCAGAATGCCTTAATCGAGTTGCAATCAGTGTACATAATTCCCTTTTGGCCTTTTCATTCCCAAATATTCGAGTGTACAATAAATATAGAAACCTAGTTTACCTCCGATCTTCACGTCAACTACTTGCTGTGTTGAGCCTCTGCTGTTCCTCGCCTTGCAAGTGTATGACCCTTCATCCTCTGGCTCTACATTTTTAACACGGTACTGGTTTCCAGTCCCGGCAAGGCTTTCGCCATTTCGAAGCCAGGTTATGGTTGCTGGGGGATTGGATTCCGGCTTGCATTCCAAAATAGCAGTTTGGCCTTTAAGAGCATACACTGTGTTGGGTGGGACAATGAATCGTGGGGAAACTAAATTTGTAAGAAAAATAAAATGGAAATTGGAGATATCAGTGACAAGCCGGTGAAGGTTGCACCTACTTGTACTTCTAATGAAGAGGAACACGTCTTGTCCTAAACCAAACCACAAAGTCACTTCAGTCCGGGCCTGGAGTAACTACTACATGACCTGGTTCACCAGCGAGAACCCCCCCCCCCCCCCACCCCCGGGAGAGGGGGTGCTTGGGTCAATTTTTTTGCTGAGTAGGGCTGCTGGCCTCTTAAAACCCCTACCCCAGTATAGTCGATTCTTTGGCCAATTACAGATCCCCGTCTTGGTCATTTTTGCGGACACATTAACAACTTTTTAACCGCGAATCTTCCAATTTCTAAATCCCAACTTAACAGAATTTTCTTATCTTTAAAATCCCGAAAACGAACGACCCCATTCTGGTAATTCCATAGAAAATGCAAGTCCATTAAAGTCAATCCAGTGGTGAAAATGCGATCTCATCTAGCATGGCAGCACATCCCCATGAGCCTATTACCCAGAATTCCCCTCCCCCGCCAGTGGGGGAGTTGAGCACAGGACCGCATAACCAAAAGGTGAAGTTCCCGCGGGTAAAAATATCAATATCTTTCTACAAATAAACTACTTGAGTTGACTTACATAAGACATCTAAGTAGGCCTTGGCACTCGCACACCCAGCAGTGTTGCAAGCTTTGCAAATGTGCAAGCCTCCATTCTGCAATGTGACGCTGGAATATGTTAGATCTCCATTGGAATGAATCTGTACAGTGGCACTGGGAACAATATTTGTTATGGTTCCACCGGTTTTCTCAAGCATCCAGGTAACGACAGGCTCATCAGGGCCACGGGCGCGGCATGACATAGTTGCACTGCTCCGTTCATCGACTGTGACATTACTCGGGACGATGGTGAACACAGGAGAGTCTGAAACATGAAGGAGAGAAAATCACAATCTATCTTTGCTTTCTCTCGTCCGCCATTTAGAACAATATCAAGGCTGGTTTTAGATTTTTAGACTGAAATAGGGGTGATAAGTTGGAGAACAAAATGTGGTTACATGAAACATCACTTAAAAATATACACTATTGTGTTCTCTCTATCTATTGGCACCAGTGATTATTTGCCCACACGAAAGTATGAAGCCTTGAGCAAGGCAATCTAGTGGGGAGCAAGGAGTCTAGCACTGAACCCTTCAACTCCTGTGAGTGACCAAGACAGAATTTCTCCTTACTATATCTATACAATATCCTACAGACAAGTGATGAGAATGAAGAAAAATGTCAATTAAGGGATTACTAATTGATCTGATACCAAATTCTCCAAACTAACATAATGAGAACCGTTTAGCAGACAGTAAGGAGAATCACTAATGAGATCTTGGGAGTTAAAGGATTAAAGTGCCAGATCCCCAGCAAAACTCTCTCCACCTTGTCTCAAATCTTCTTGCAGGCAGAGAAATATGCACCCTGCAGCGCTATTAGGGAGGCCTGCTGCCAAGCTATCTTGAAATACATGCCAAATTTTGTCAACCTTTTAACTTCCATAACATAATAATTTCTCCTTACAATTCCGATACAATATCAAGCAGACAAGTGATGATAATAAAGATAAATATCAATTAGGGGATTATCAGGTGATCTGATACCAAATTCTCTATATTTATATCATAAGAATTATATGGCAGACACTAATGAGAATTACAAATGAAATCTTGAGAGTGAAGAGTCAACTAATTTACAGGGAAATGTACAATGACTCCAACCTTACAGTTCATTAGTTGACTCTCATTGCATTTAAAAACACTATCAGCTATTTAAACAATAATGTAACCACTAAATGCAGTTTTTTAATACCAGCCACTAAAAAGTATACTCTTTTTTCACTTGTTCCTGCGTCATTTGTTGCACGGCAGGTGAACCAACCACTGTCTTGTTCAGATACACTTTTGACCACAAGCGTTCCATTTGATAAAACAGTGAAGCGCACATCATTGGTGATAAGGTTTTGTGACTTGTACCATTTGATGGAAGGAACAGGAATTCCTGTAGCCTGGCACGAAAATATGGCTGTTTTTCCTTTAGGAATGGTTTGATTTATTGGAGACATTACAAAGTTTGGTGGCACTGCAGATGAAGAACAGATGAAATGAGTTGCAGAATTGACCCTCCTTAAAAAAATTGTTGTCTTAAAATTTAATTTCCTCAATAGGAAACTCAACATGAAATAAAATACATATAAAATAATGACTAATCAGCAAAACAACTTACTGCAAGAAAAACTAAAACTAGAAATTGTATGGTTTAACATAGATATAATATGATAAAAACAATTACCTTCTAATATACAGTTACAATAAAGAGAAAGACAACAATCACAACACATTAATTCCTCAAGATGAAAAACATTACAAGCAGACTTGAGGAATAAGATAAGAAGTTTATACATAGTAGTGTGTTATGAAAATTTTCCTTACTTATTAACATAAAAAGAAATAATCTCTCACTGAATGATTTACCTTGAATTGCTAGGTAGAATTTACCAGAAACTGATCCAAATGAGTTGTTTGCAACACAAGTGTAGAACCCTTGATCACCAAGAGACAAAGAACTCAAATTCAGGTTGCGATTTGCTGTGATAATTGTGTCATTAAATATCCACTGATACTCCGGAGTGGGCCTGGCATAAGCTCCACATTCCACCACAAGTTGAGTGTTAATATTCTGTGTCCTGTTCGCCATGGGCACATGAAATCTTGGAGGAGCTGACACATATAACAAAATGTTACAAATGAATAATGGGATTACTAACAGTACATTCAGTCTAGTGAGCCTACACCTCATGGTTCATTGTTGCTTAAATTTACCCCAGTTTCTAAAACGCATAAATACCAGGCGTATTGCTACAACTCCCCCTGGGGGATGTACTAACAGCTGAAGTTTTGCAGGTCCTGGACTGCCTAGGGAGTGCACCAGCCCTAGTAGGTTGTCCTACAGGCTCTTTGCTACACTGTTTAGATTGAAAAGGATCCATAGCCCAAAAACAAGAAAGGATACAGCTGCCTCTCCCCTCTAAAAAGTTGGGAAGAGGAAAGGGGCCACACAGGCTATGCAAGAATCTAATTAAATATCATTTGATAACTGCAACTGATTGACCTTTCAGTTACCATATCTCATTACAACTGATAATGATTGATTTCTTTTTAATTCTAACCTTACAAAAATAATTATAATTATAGGAAAGTATTAAATAACTTGCTTGACTCACTTAAAACTTTTAAGGTTGCAGAGGCAGACCTTTCTCCAACATCATTCACAGCCTTGCAAGTATATGTTCCACCATCAGTTTCTGTTACCATGGAGATACTAAGAGAATTGTTTGAAAGGACTTTTATGGTGCCCAAGTGTGGAGACTGCAGAGTAAATATGGAGCCATTGGGTGTGGTCCATTCCACATGAGGGGTTGGGTTTCCCTCAATTAAACAGGTAAATTGGACAGGTGAGTGTTCTTCAACCACTTTGTTTGAAGGCGTCCTTGTTATACGAGGATAACCTTAGAAGAAGAAAAGTATGGGTGATGAATTAAGTGAATGAAATGTTGCAGTTAGAACATGAAGAATAATTTTCAATGTAATCTCTCATATAAATACATTAAATAATTACCTCGGATACGTAGAAATGCCAAGGCTGTGACATTCCCTTCAGAATTCTTTGCTGTACAAACATAGACACCATCATCCACATGCTGAAGATTGACAATCCTTAAGGCACCAGGAGAGGGTTCTTGCCTCCGATCACCTGTAATGTTCCCATATAATTTGCTCCATGTGATACTTGGAGGAGGAATACCATTGGCACTACAGTAAAATGTGACTCTGTCTCCTTCACTAGCAGTTTTGTTGCCTGGTCTTGTTGTAAATGATGGAGGGATGGGCAGGTCTTAAAAAACGAATTAAGTCCAAAAATATTCATGCGATGAGCTAAAGAGATGCTTAAACAAAACAGTTAGAAAATATCACAGAAGGTATTTAGCAGTCCAACCTTTATTGCTTTAGAGTAAAAGATTTTCTGGCCAATTATTGGTCAAAATGTTAGAACATCAGTAATTAAAAGGACTTGCAGACATCTGACTAATTACTTACAGAGGGAATTTCAAACTTTTTGTTTTCCAAAAGATATATATTTAAAAAAGACATTACCACGAAGAAGCTGAACCATTTGGATATCATTTGACTGATATATCAACACAGAAATATTCTTATGTACATAAAAGAGATATAGAATGTAATTTTGTACCCTGAAAATAGGGAGATCATTGTGTGTTTCAGTTTGCTTAATTATGTAAAATTACATACCATTTACAATCAGGGTTGTACTTGCAGATGTTGAGCCAAATGAGTTGTGAGCTTTACAGCTGAACAAGCTACCATCATCACTCTTGACTAAATTATTTATCCTCAATGATCCATTGCTGAAAACCTCAAATCGTCCACTGCTAGAAATGATGGCATCACTACTATTTTTCCAATTTAAAACAGGTTTTGGATATCCAACAACTTCACAGTGAAACAAGGCAGATTGCCCAACATATGTTGCTGATGATGAAGGTGTTTTAGAAATACTTACTGATGGGACACCTAGAACAGTAATCAAGAAATAGTCAGTCCCAATTTTTACACAAGGTTTAGAGAACTTTATGATTATTGGTGTCAAAAGACCAAAACAGAAGTAATAATTAAACTAAATCTGATTCTCTTAATTGACCATTTAACTTCCAGAGGTGATTAAAATGCATCTTCTACTTGCAAAATCAGGACAATCTCCAGCAAACAAGTAATGAGAATAGACAAAACTATCAGGAAGAAAGTGTTATCTTGATAGAACACAATCTTCTCCTTTGCAAGTAGCAAAGAAATGTATAAAAGCTGGAAGGGAGAAGTACAATCTAGATATAAACTCTTTAACTCCCAGATCAAATTTGTCATTCTTCTTACTGTCGACCATACAATTCTTATTATGTTAGTTCAGAGAATTTAGTCTTAGATCAGCTAATTATCCCCAAATTGATATTTTTCTTTATTCTCATCACCTATCTGGTTGATATTGTTTTGATATTCTGAGGAGAAATTCTGTCTTGGTCACTCATCGGAGTTAAAGGGTTTTAAGAGCTGAGGATTTCATAACAAAAATGTGCTATACCTTGCACAGTTAAGGTCGCTGATTTTGTTACTGTCTCTCCTGACTGTTTATCAGTAGCTACACAGGAATAATTCCCAGAATCAGAAAACTCTAGGTTATCAATCTTCAATAACGTTGCTAAGCCAGAAGGGAAGATGTTGCCTTTACTGATGTTACTGCCATCTTTCAGCCAGTTGTAAATGGGTTGTGCAACATTTATTTGGCATTCAAAATTGACTGCGCTCCCTTTGAGGACTGATTGGGAAGTAGGTTCCTTCAAGAATTTGGGCACAGCATCTGTATTAATAAAGTTTAACAAAGTTACTTTCTTGAAAAAATTTTAAATAACTTAATTCTAGAAATAATTATGTTTTCAAAGAATAGCCTTTGAAATGACTTGTAGTAGATCTAGTGACCTTGGAGTACTGGTAGGCATGAGAAGCCACTTCACTATTCCTATTTTCAAAACGCCAGAGTACCTGTATTTAAAATAATTATCTTCCATATATTTCCTTTACTGATTATTATAAAGTACACTGAATACACAAAACCAATTTCTCTCCATAAATTGATATCTTGTGGCTCAGGGAAATGATAAACCTTTTCACTCCCAAGATCTCATTTAGTAATTCTCCTAATTGTTTTCCTCACAATTATTATGATGTCTTTGTGAGAATTTGGTTTCGGATCAGCTAACTTTCCCCTAATTTATATTTTTCTGTATTCCAGTAACTTGTCTGTTTGATATTGTAAGGATAAATTCTATCTTGGTCAATCATGGGGGTTAAAGACTGGGTTTATACTCAACAAATGTCCCAAACCTATCCACCTGCTGTTTTCATGGTCTTCTAAATGCA